GATGGTAGCCCGGGGTTCAATTTTTTTTAAAAAGCCACTTGCCACAGGGCAAGTGACTTTAAGAAAGTAACTTGTCCTGACTAATTTTCCACTTGATTTTATGACATAATCATGATGATGTAATTATTAAAGAATCAATCAACATGTTATTTGATGTTAATGTCTACTGGACTTTTTATTGAAAAGTGATAAATAGCAAAGAAAGACAACTCTACTTTATTATCATTGCGAAATTTAATAGCTACATTTTGAGCAGATATGAAATTAAATCCAAGTCTATTTGCAGTTTGAAACCACAAGTGAAATTATCTAGTAGCTCACGGACAAGTAAGATACCATTATTTGATTGCCCGAAATGAAAACTGACTTGTCCCGGGCATCGGGCAATGGGATTTTTGAACCCCTGTAGCCATGTCTTTGAATAGTGTAGGAAGAGATGGCATGCTTTTGGCTTACTATCTGTCTTTTATCCTGTATTCATACAAGATCTTCCCCAGTGAAGATCTAGGTTAGAACTGGCCTTCAGCAACCCATACTTGAAATAAGAAGCGATTTAACAAGATAGCGGGTGAGTGAGTTAGTGAGTATGGGTTTTACAACACTTTTAGCAATATCCCAGCAATTTCACGGCGGGGACTCCAGAAATAGGCTTCACACATTCTACCCATGTGGGGAATTGAACCCACATCATCGGGGTGATGATCAAATGCTTCAGCCATGAGTCTACCCCACAACCCCTGGTGATCATTAGTGTTGGGAATCGGAACCCAAATCGACTATCGATTATCGGAGGACTTGTGGTGAACGATTATCGATTATAATCGAAATATATAAATTTTTAATGTAATCACCAATTTTAAGCTTTTTCCCCAAGGCAATTTCTAATTAATTTTTTTTTTTAATAAGTAATACTGTCATGCAATGAAATGCACGCATGCAAGAAGGACACTGGAATTGTAATAAACAATAAAAGAGGTTAAGTTTTACAATGCTTACTGTCATCTTTTCATTGCTTGATTATTTTATTCTATATCATTAAAGACCCGTGAAGATCCAGGGTAGAATAGGTCTTCAGCAACCCATGCTTGCCACAAAAAGCGACTATGCTTGTCGTAAAAGGCGACTAACGGGATCGGGTGGTCAGGCTCGCTGACTTGGTTGACACATGTCATCGGTTCCCAATTGCGCAGATCAATGCTCATGCTGTTGATCACTGGATTGTCTGGTCCAGACTCGATTATTTACAGACCTCCGCCATATAGCTGGAATATTGCTGAGTGTGGCGTAAAACTAAACTCACTCACTCACTCTATATCATTAAATATATATACCATCATTCATGAGTATCTTGAGTCTATGAATACAATGCGCATAGCTTTGCACTGATGATCGCGTGTTTGTTCGTGAATGTTCGTCAATTTTAATGGTTAGTTTACTTCATTCAGGTGTGTTATACTAAAACAACAAAATTCCCATTAATAGAAAATATGTTTTTTTACAATCGATAATTATTTTTAATCCTTCTTTCGATCGATTTTCGATTATTTTCGATAATCGGAACACCACTAGTGATGACTCGTCCTGTCTAAGACCCGGTTTCATTAGGAAGTTGTCCATCACACCTTGCCAATATATCTGCATCTAGCTGATGAGATTATTGGTTGAAAGAAGTGATGGTTGCCCAACTTGTGCATGTGCAGCTGTGTTGATGCAAACTCTTAAATAGATAGATCTGAATTGATCTTCAGCAACCCATGCTTGTCATAAGAGGTGACTAATGTGATCGGGTGGTCAGGCTTGCTGACTTGGTTGACACGTCATCATATCCCAAACTCACAGATTGATGCTCATGCTGTTGCTCATTGGATTGTCTCATCCAGACCGCCACATACAGCTGAGATATTGCTGAGTGCACCGTTAAACAACAAACAAACGCAAAAAAATCTGAAATAAGTTGGTAATTAAGAGGACCCCTTTGGAAAATCGAATGATTTTATAGTGTGATGATTGGTGACTACAGGCCAATGAGTAATTTATGGCTGTGTTGTAATGAGGAAAGTAGTCATAGAACTAGTCATTATTTCTATAATCACTGCTTTATATTGCCTTTGAATTTGTACTGCCAGTCTATTATGTTATGATACTGTAATACCTTTTTATTGGTCTGTGGTCAGTTGAAAATTTGGTTTAAGTTTAGAATACAATACAATTGTTATTTACCACATTGCTTAGTTTGTTGGTTTCACACTGATTTCCGGTTAACTTTCAGTTTCAACTTAGCAATCAACGCTTAATTACACATATTTTCCAAATATTTCAATCAAGATGCTGAAGTAATTAAAAGCATTTCGCAACATGAGACCCATTTTAATAGAATCATCTATTTTGGCTGGCGTCATTGTAGTGCAAGAATCGATCCTCAAATTTCAGCCTAGTATGGCAAGGCTGGAAACTGGTATTAATCTGTCTGATAACTCCCTTCCTTCAAGAAGACTGTCAGACAATATTCAAGCAGTTTGATAATGGATGAGGGTTAATATTTTCATTGAACAGTTGCCATCATCAGTTAAAAAGAAAAATCAACTAAGCAAAGAAATCACTAACTATGATGCTAATATATTCCTAGGAAATAAATATCACATTAAAATATTCCCATAAAGAGATATTAGACAATAAGGAAGTCCTGATATGACTGACCAAGCGTTTCACATCGCTGCTTTCATTTTCCTGTAATGCATCATATAGTGACTCTATTAACGGATCTGGTTGAGATGAGTATAGCAGTTGGCCGGGACAAGGTGGGCGGCCTTTATTCAGTGTTAGTCAACACTGATCCTTGAACACAGGCATATTATATCGTGGGCTTGTGAAGTTGTCAGACTGGAATATCACTCTAGCTATTACCTGAAGTCCTTTTACATCTGGTGAATTTGGCTGTTTAAAGATGGTTGGGAGTACTGCAAGAAGAAGGTGAATTGTCTTTTGTTTATGAATGCTTTGTTTTATGTTTTTGGTGATGAGATACTGTGAGGATATGAGATACTGATGAAGTTTAATATATACTGGACAAAATAAGTTAGGGATATTTGTATTTTTATGATTGATATTTTATCAGTGCGTCAATGAATAAATAGATCATTGTTCAGAATTTCAAAATTTACATATATCCCTAACTATTTTTGTCCAGTATATAAAATTGATATCTGGAAAGAAATGACATATGTTGACAGTTTGTGCTGGAACAGCGGGGATTTTCAGTCATCTTCATTGAGACTGGTTTTACTTAAATGGTTACCAGCACAAACAGTCAGTGATGGCTCAGTGGGTTAGACTGCTGTCTTTGTGTGCTTGTAATATCGTGCCTCACACTGAGAGTGTGGGTTTGAATCCTGGATATGACTCAACCTAAAAGAAAAGCTAGAATCCGTACTTTACTGAGAAAGTGTAGTCCATAAAACATAAAAACATTTGATCTCTTCCTAAAACCCCATGAAGATCCGTGTTAGAATTGCTCTTCAGCAACCCATATTTGTCGTAAGAGGCGACTAACGGGATAAGGTGGAAATGTTCAGCCACAATAGTTTATATGAACCCCATGTCAAGACAGAATTATCCGTGAAGTTCCTTCCACCAGAATATGAACACGATATACATTTTATCCTGGATGTTATCTTGATAAATATTATATTACAATATTTAAATATGGAATTCAGGATGTCATTTAGAAAATGTCAGTGTGAACCTCCATTTTTGACATGTAAAGCATACTAAACATGGATATATACAATTTGCCAGTTTATACAGGATTGGGCATAATGTAAGTTATCCCACCATTATGTATACAATATTAAACTAACTCATTTTGTGACTACAACCTTCTAGAGCCTAACAGGCAGTTATCTGGGGCAATAATTTTCTGTGCAATTCATTGTTAGCCCTATGAGCATACCTGTTGTAGAGTTTAGCGCTATGTAAATGGACACATTATTATTATTATGTTTTACAGATTAAAAATAGTATGCAGCAGAGAGGGTGGTAATAATAATAATATTATTATTATATGTTTTCAGCATTACGCTGTCACTACCTTTGTAAATATGAATTTCCAAATCACAGAATAGGTTCAAGGGTGCCTGCTTCTGTAGCGTAATCATTCCTTTGTTGTCTATTTACACAAGTTTTCCACTACACCTTTACTCTGGCAATATATCCTAACATCTGAGGGCTTTACCACATACAACTTTACTGTTCAGGCATTTTGTATACTGCTGATGTGGCGGACATCTTGCAATGACATGCGAGGGGAGCATTCATTAATCTTGTGTGGGGAGCATTCATTAATTTCTCTGACATCTTCATTCGGGATGAAACTGTTTCCATGGGGAACTAATTATTAATGACAAATACATATTACACATACTACACAGAGCTGTATCTACACTGCATGCTATGTCATATATGTCTTGTTTTCTGTTTGTGTTAATGGGTATATTTAAAAAATTCAAACTACTTTAACTAAATTTGGTTTACTAGCTGAGCCCTATGAATTGAATGTAATCTGAGTTTAATGCAATTATATTCTTATCAGTAAGGCACTTCAGAGTAGTGTGCAGTGTGGACAAGCTAAATCACTTCATCAATACAGACTGCTCGGTAGTTAAGTGGATAAGGTGTTTGCTTGTCCCACCAAAGACCTGGCTTCCATTGGTACTATGTGTGAAGCCTACTTTTGGTGTCTGTTTTGACATAGCAGGAGTATTGCTAAAATGGATGTAAACTTACTTTCGTACTCAATAGATCAGTATGTCTACCTGGTCAATCAAACAAAGCCAACCTTACTTGTTTCAATGTAAATACATGTATAATTATTTGGAATATGGCCTCAGTGAGTTACAGCACTTTTTTACTTCATGTCTATTGCATTAATATGATGCTTCCACATAAACCCCAAGTCCACTGATCTGAAGGAAATATGTTGAGGTATCAATTTTAGACTAACAATGGATGAATATAAGACAGTAGCAAAGTGAATGATAGTGCTGACACCATCAGATGACTCTGTGTTGAATGATATATCAATTTAATAGTGTTTGAGGTTTGTCTTAAATGATATATCAAGTTAAAAGTTGTTGAGATTTGTGTTAAATGATATATCAGTTTTAACATGTCACTGTTTCTCAGATCTATTTATTTGCACAGATCGATACTCATGCTGTTGATCACTGGATTGTCTGGTCCAGACTCGATTATTTACAGACCGCCATATAGCTGGAATATTGCTGAGTGCGACGTAAAACTAAACTCACTCACTCACTCAGATCTATTTGTCATGTAACATATACAAGAATGTTTCAGATACATACTTGAAAACAAATTTAGAAGAAAGTTTTTACTACTTTTACAAGTCAAAATATCTGCAACTCTGATTGATCCTTTAATGGCTTTATTATTAAAAAAACAGCTAGATCAAACAGTAAAAAATATTCAAAATTTTGTAAAGTTTCGCCATATGTTATTTTGAGACAACTCTGTGACATTTCTTTGTAAGGCATGCTCATATTTATCACTTGCTTGATAATGGTGTTAGAACCTACACCAAAACATCGCACTCACTTTTCGATAACGGTGTTAGAAGCATCGCACCGTCTCCGTAGAGAAGCAATCGGTGTGGTGTAGTGGTTAGAGCGTCTGCCCGGAGAGCGGAAGGTCGCGGGTTCGATCGCCGACCGCGTCATACCAAAAGACGTTAAAATATGGTACTTGTTGGTCCCTGCCTGGCGTTCGGCATTAATGGGTACAACAAGGACTGGTCGGCTCGGAGTCAGTATAATGTGTCTGAGTGGGGTATTCATGCTTCACTGCGGCATGGTATCACAGTGGGCTAGCACTATAAAACCAGCTTAAGTCTGGGCTAGTACAAGCAGCCGCACCTACACATACACATGCATGCACGTCGTCATATGAGTGAAATATTCTCAAGCACGACTTAAACCCAATTTCACCTCACCTCACCTCGATAGAGAAGCTGACTATACATAGAACTTGGTTTTCCTTCAACTCTGTGTGATGTGTATGTGTATGTTTATGTTCCAGTGCCAACCGCCAGTCCGGAGCACTCTATCAGGGCATCACTATGGCTCGGGAAATGGGTCTGCCGGAGAACCAAATACGAGCTGCCAGAGTTCAGAACATTCCCGATGAAATCAAAGCCTTACCCTACTTCTATGCAAAATTTGGTGACAGCAAAATTGTAAGTAAATTATACAAATGAACATGGTATTAATATTAATTAATAATTAATTGATCATATATATTTTACTGTAAAATCGTAATGTTGCTGAATATTAATTGGTCATGTAGATAAACATAGTATTCATTAAAATTATGCCAATTTGGTGTCAAAGTTAGAACAAGCAACAAATTCTTTCATTTTGTAGAAATTGATGAAGTGACTAATTTGTCAGTTGCAACATCCTGTTGAAATGTGGTTAGCCCTTTAGAATGCTGGTCAATACAGGTTATAGAAATATGAAAACAGGAAATAAAGGCAGGAAGATTCAAGATGAGTAACTGAAGACTAAGCTTTATCTAGAGTTGGATAAATATTTTGATCTTTTTAACATCTTTGCCAAAATACGACATGTTCCCCTTTGATGCTAATCATGTCCTTGAAAATCTGGGATTTGAACTTGTGATCATCTCATCTTGATATGACTCGGAGACGTGTTGTGGCCACTTATACTACTGTGCCAACAATGCTTAGATGGAATTGATTACATAACTGTGCTGTGCGTTTTGTTGTGTGTTGGAGGTATTTGATGGGCTACATATATCTGTTCAGTATTTTGTGTGAATTCTGAAAACAATATTTTCAAATTTTTAGGCAACAAGATATGTGGAGCAACATGCGCAGGGCCTGGGTACTACTTGCTGCGTCTTAGCTCCAAGGGAGATAACTATTTGTCTCTTTCAGTCAGGTAAGGTGATTCTTGTTATTTCTCAAATACATCTCAGACATTCATTAAGAACATTTTATTTCTTCACCAGTAATGGGCTTCACACATTGTACCCATGCTGGGAATCAAATCCGGGCCTTTTGTGCGATGAACGAATACTTTAACTGCAAGGATACGCCACCATTCCATGAAATTAGAGGAAGATAGTTTCATCATCTTTTGCATTCAGTGGAAAATGTGCAGCGGATATAATTGCATCCATTATATATTTAATGATTTATTTAATGTTATACTTTGTAACCTATAAAACACTGCCTCTATATTTAGTTTTGACATATTTTTTTGCACTAACTTTTGAAATTTCTATTTTTTCAGCATTGCAAATTCTTCTGTACGGCATGTAAATGTAGTCATTGAGAGACGACCAGCTTTGAAGTACTTCATTGTGGAACAGGTGAAGTTCAACAGCTTCCATGAACTCTGCACTTACTACCATACCCACCGAATCTGTAATCTGGAGCAGATCGAGAACGTCAAACTCTTACACCCAATAAACCAAGGGGCAGACTCAAAGGAAGACTATGCACTACCATCGTCACCTGTAAATGGAGCAGGAGTACCCATTCCTCTCAGAAAGGGTTCTGACACAAGCCTGCCCAAAACACCTAGCTCGGGTCAGTTGACAGCGAGGTTTGACTATGTAGAGGAACTTCCTCCAATTCCCGTGTCAAGCGGTCGGCCACGGAAAGACAGCAACCCTTCGCGACCTCTACCAAAGACACCAAAGTCGAGTAGTGAGACACGCCCCCCTTGTCCACCTCCTCCAGGATATGAAGGCAACTCGGATCTGTACTACTTCCCGCCCGAGGGATGTGAGCAAAAATAGGATCGATGAACTTCGACAGATTTTAAAAGATTCTGAAATGTGTGATTGTGGTGTGAACTTAAGTGACTCTGAACTCCCTCAGGGCTGGACCTTACATAAGAGTCACGACGCGGCATCATATGGTTGCCTCTTCTACCAAAGTAACCAAGGAGACACAACTTGGAACCTTCCTCTACACATTGTGCCAGAAATCACTCCCAAGATGAAGAAAATCATCATTGATTTGAGTCATCAGAGCGGGAAGACACCCCCAGCAGTGTTATTCCCGCCATATCAAGAACAGATGAGGGGGCGAACAGATGGTGGCCAGCGGAATGGGGTGGGCACTATGTTTGGACCGGGAGGAGGGGCAAGGAAGCGGGGTGATGAAGGTTGATCTTGGTTGCCTTTCTGTTACTCTTTGTTTTAGCATCCTGACATTTTTAGAAATCCACACAAGGATGTTGTTTCTCTTGAGTTAGTCGTCTTCCATAGCGTTGAATGTTGGCTGAGAAGATTCGGTGGTGACAGTGCTTTTGACAAGTTTGACCATACCACATCACCGTAGTGTTGAAAACTGTCAAATGACTTACTTAAAGGGGGACTATACTCCACATTCTGGTGACAATGTCCAATACAGATCTAGATCTCTTTAAGCCAAGATGTTATCTGTGTAATATAGGAAATCATTTGTTTCTATATCGATACACACCTTGAAGATTGAGTTAGGAGAGACATAAACATGATAAAATCAGATTTGATTTGAATCAATTTGACTAGGACTTTGAATAGTGTGGAAACAAGCTCTTACTGAAGTATGGGGAGATGAGGAAACCTAGATTTGAAAGCACTGCCTTGGCACACCAAGGACCTGGTTTTGGTTCCCCATGTGGGTAGAAAATGTGATACCGATTTCTGATGTTCCCTTTCGCCCTGTGATATGGCTGGAAGTGTCGTACATTGTCGTACATTGGTAAGACAACAAAACTTACAACATCAGAGGCTTCAATGAAAGGTTGTTATACTCTGATTGAATGATTGTATCGAAGAAAGGAATATAGAAGATTATCAACTCCAGTCCAGATGAGACAAAACAGGACTTGAAAACATGACTTAAGAATACTGTATGACTGGATGACTGTTTCTGCAATGAATACTGTTTGTTATACTTTATATACATTGAACTGAGAAATACACTGTGCACCATTTTAGACCAACCTCTTGAAGGATGTCTTCAGGAATCCACTGAGCTTTAGCCATTCTTGTGGTGAAAAATCAACATTATTAACACTTTATCAACATCTTTGAATCTGTAACCTAATACAAAAATGGTATGTTGTACAGTTGCCTTGATCATATTAGCATGGTTAGTGTCTGAGGTGAGGTGAGGTGAAATTGGGTTTTACGTCGTGCTTGAGAATATTTCGCTCATATGACGACGTGCATGCATATGTATGTGTATGTGCGGCTGCTTGTACTAGCCCAGACTTAAGCTGGTTTTATAGTGCTAGCCCACTGAGATACCATGCCGCAGTGAAGCATGAATACCCCACTCAGACACATTATACTGACTCCGAGCCGACCAGTCCTTGTTGTACCCATTAATGCCGAGCGCCAGGCAGGGACCAACAAGTACCATATTTTAACGTCTTTTTGGTATGACGTCGTCGGGAATTGAACCCGCGACCTTCCGCTCTCGGGCAGGACGCTCTAACCTCTACACCACGGAGGCGGTCGTTAGTGTCTGAACATGTAACATGGTTTATATTCTTGGGGTGGAGGCCTGGATGTTCTATATATTTGGACTTAGGGGCCTAAATGTTGTATATACTCTGGACTGGGGCCCTGAATGTTTTATCCGGGAGTAGGGGCCTGAATGTTTTTATAAACCTTGGGTTGGGGGTCTGAATGTTTTATATATTTGAGGGTAGTACCTTAATGTTTTATGAACCAAGGGGTTGGGGGTCTGAATGTTTTATATATTTCAGGGTAGTACCTTAATGTTTTATATACTTCAGGGTAGTAACTGAATGTTTTATTTACTCAAGGGAAGGGGCCTGAATGTTATATTAACCTATGGGTGGGGATCTGAATGTTTTATTTACTTAAGAGTAACGCCTGAATGTTTTATATACTTGGTGTTAGGGGACTGAATGTTTATGTACGGGAGGGAAGGAGGCCTGAGGATATATAAACCAAGGGGTGGGGCCCTGAATGTTTTATAAACCAAGGGGTGGGGGCCTGAATGTTTTGTAAACCAAGGGGTGGGGCCCTGAATGTTTTATAAACCAAGGGTTGGGGGCCTGAATGTTGTATAAGCCAAGGGGTGGGGGCCTGAATGTTTTATAAACCAAGGGGTGGGGACCTGAATGTTATATAAACCAAGGGGTGGGGACCTGAATGTTATATAAACCAAGGGGTGGGGACCTGAATGTTATATAAACCAAGGGGTGGGGGCCTGAATGTTGTATAAACCAAGGGGTGGGGACCTGAATGTTATATAAACCAAGGGGTGGGGGCCTGAATGTTTTATAAACCAAGGGGTGGGGGCCTGAATGTTTTATAAACCAAGGGGTGGGGCCTGAATGTTTTATAAACCAAGGGATGGGGACCTGAATGTTTTAATATATTCTGGGGGATTCAGGCATGAATGTTTTAAATTCTGATTCGTTTGGGCCTAAATAGATTATTCATCTGGTCCGGCATTGATTCTGTAACCCCCTGAACACCCCCCTCTGGATCCGCCACTGGATGAGAGTCAGTACTGCCTGATGGTGCCAACTCTACCTGTGCTCAAGTGCCTTAGTGTACAGGGACCCTACCCACAAAACGTTCGTAGCACTATGCCATTCGTAAGCCAATGATAAAGGGTATCCTCCCAAAATGCAGACCTCCCAAAACGCAGACCAGTTAAAACAACACTTGTTATGGTTGGTTGCATCTACGATTAGTAGGCTGTACCCTTGATTAAGCAAAATGGTATCACCCATGTAACGAGTTGTAATGGTATAAGGGAGTGGACCAGGCCATTCATTATTTAGGGGTGACCAGCTTGGCCCAAATTAGTAGTGTGCTATTTTTTTTCGCGTTTTGGGAGGTCTGTGTATGGGAGTAAACCTGATAAAGTATAGAGTTACCATAGGTCATAACGTTACGAACGCTTTGTGGATCTGCACCCAGATGACGTAGTATTTGTATATTCTATTTCCTATTTATTCACAAAAATCTGCAACTGAATCATACAACATGCAACAAATGAAAACATGTGAAGTAAAGGCATTGTTAGGATAACATTTTGCAACAAATTTCCTTAGTTATTGTTGCTGAATACGGTATTGCATTGGTTATTTGTTAGGGTATATTAACCCTGTAGTGGAAAATAACCTTCCTACCAAAAACTTCTCGTTTTGTATTCTGTTGTTCTTATTCCATTATACACCAAGTTAATTTCTTAATATATGTATCTATAGATGTGTGTGTGAATGGTATGTGAAATCAGCTTCCATATCAAGGGCTGAGTAACGTCACAAGAAAGTTTTATTGTATTTTGTATGTAGCAACATATTCAGTGTTGAAATTGTAATGTTTACGAATTGTTTTTTCTTATAATGTAAGCTGTAAATTGAAGCTTTCAAATATTTTGACATTCCAGTTTATTTCTAAAAAGAATTGTGTCTGTGTATATAGAGATTTTTATCAAAATAGTTTATTGCATCAGGGATTATTCCAATGGACTAATATAATTATATTCCAAGACTGCATATAGTTTTCCATACACTCAGATGATTTTGCCCTACATTTGTTTTGTACACAGTGCTTGGATAAAAGAGTGGGGTATATGTTGTTTTTCGAAAAATAAAGTGTTCAATCAAGTATTCCTATTTGTTTTTGTTATATTTTATCTAGTTTTTACATGTGAAACAGCAATTAAATACCAGTTAATTTCATGTGAAAGGCTTGGTACATTTTGTTATATTATATGGCCAGACCAATTCTATTTCTTGTTTTATGGATCCGCTGGTTGTATATTTTCTAGAGTAAGAAAAAAATTAAATAATTTTCCTTACTCAGAAAATCTTTTTTAATGTTTTTATTGGCCAAAAATATAAACTTGCAAAAAAATGATTTAAGATTGTTTTTTGCCCCACATACACTTCATAAAGTACCAAAAGTAAAATTCTTTTAGTATTTAAAAGGAGTATAAGTGTTTTTTTAAAAAAAAAAAAAATTCCTCCTGCCTTTAGGTTTTCTGAGGACAAAAATCCATTAAACAAGAAATAGAATTGGCCTGACCTAATGATATTTTGGTATAGATTCTTAAACCGTTGTCAAGCTTGTCACTCTTGTTTGACAACGGTATGAGGATCTATACCAAAATGTCACGTAATATCATAATAAAGCAGTTGTTATCCATAAAGCTTCATACGTTTTTATTAATCAACTTTTAAAATCCAATCAACAGATCAGTTAATTTCAGTGGTCAGATTGTTCCAAGGATGGTTAAGTGAATTATATTGATTTTAAAACCAATTCAATCCCATTGCCATAGGTCAAAGACACTTTAATACACAGGGATTGATTTAAGGAAATGAAACCTACTTGCACGTGGTGCAACCTCAAGTAATAACCTTGCTGCACCAGCCAAAAATATCACAATATTGACATGTACTGGATGCAAGTTGGTACAAGTAGGAGGCTGCATTTTGAGCCCTTAGAAAGGTTATTACGATGACAAATTGCTGCGATATCACTAAGGTCCAGCATTAAAAACTCACATCCATTCTTTCGATACCATATATTTTGACAGCTTTTATTCAAGAGCAGGTAGGCCTTTATACTGTTATATCCACCACAGGGTTACGATGTTTCCTGCATAGTTTTATACAATGTTAACATGTTTGAATTGTGTATGAGATTATGTATACCAGAAAGTCCCCAAGCAAATATTTTGAACAATTTTATTTTCTATTTTGATTTAAGAAAATTCACACTTAATATTGGAAAAAAACCTGTTTAAACATTGATTAGGCCATATTTTAAAAAAAATCACCAGTCAAAGTAATATTTCTTTTAAAGACAAAAAGTATTTTACTTTTGGCAATTTATGAAGTGTGTATGGGGCCAAAAAGAAACAATCTTAAAATGTTTTCTTATATAAATTTTTATTTGTGGCTAATAAATAACATTAGGATTTTATTTTTTGAGTGGGGAAAATTAATTTTCCTTTTATTTTTTATTCATAAAAATATAAGATTGGCGGATCCGTAAAACAAGAAATAAACAGGGATGAGAATTTTCCGCAGATCTGCGTAATTCCGGGAATTTCATAAGGCCAAGGGTCATTTTGTGAATCATCTAAATCCGATAGATGCTAACTCCCCGGCTAGTTTTCAGAGTTTTTCTCAAAACTTCATTCTCATCCCTGAATAAAATTGGTCTGGCCTTATACAGAGTACTATCTTAAGCTAACTGGTCAAACATATTTTAAAAAACACATCTGTATTCAAAGTCAGGCCTCGATTTCTTGAAACAAAATTAAGTGTGAGTTATGACTTACTCAAATTTGAGAAAATGCATGAAAATGCATTTCCCAAAATTAACTGAAGTCGATATAAGTTTAGTAGGTAGGTAACTGTAGTTGTTTGGGGATTTTGATTTAAGAAATGCAGTTGAGTTAGAAATTCAGCTGTTTAAAATTGTCAAACTCAGTTTGAAATTTGACTAAAAACTTAAGTTTGTTTTGAGAAATCAGCGCCTGGTCTGCAGAAAAGTGTTAACATAGGAGGGAAATAAATATTTGACATGTATTTGTTGACATTCGTCAGATTGAGCTGACGTGCTGAACATAGGCTTTTCTTAAGGAGCAAGTTACAGTTTTTAGAAACTGTTTCTCCAAAAGCAAGGGTTTTTTTAAAAATATTTCTAATCGATTTGTTTCGTAACTGCTTCCTTAATAGTGAAATAATTGTGTTTTTAGTATGATGCTGTTGGGTGCTTGTTTCCTTTATATACTTCCTACTGAATGTTTAATTTACATTTTGAAGCATA